TGTGAAGCTTACTGCTACCAGTGACCTACATGCAGACGAACATGTGGTAGTTGGAGTTGATCACAGTCATCTGCAGCAGGCCTTGATCCAAACTCTGTTTTGAGAACACAATCAATTGTACTCTGTCCTCCAGACGGCTACATGTCAATTAGAGTTTGAATTAGGGCTGGAATTATGGAATCACCCCCAATTACAACCCTCCATTTTAAAGTTTGAATATATAGATACACAGATCAATTGCCCATCTTGGCTTGCAAACACCTTCATGTAGTCGGGTCAGTTTAAAATCGTGCATCTTCTCTTTCTTTCAACCGGAGCAAATTACCTCAAAGGTCTAATAATCACGTCTCGTGATGCTTTGTGGTCTCCGAGACGACAAGATTTCTCTCAATCATAATGAGTTCTTGGAAAATAAATTTGTCCAGGCGAATTATTTTCCTGGGAAATATCCCCAGCCCAGAGTCGCGCCGCAAAGACCCAGAGGGAAAACGGCTCAAAAGGCCTCCATTAATTAGAGTGGGACTCGGTTTCGAGACGCCGACGCCGAAAGGCGCAAGGAGGAGCCGACAGCCAGAGTCCAATTCTGCAAAATGTTCTCGGAAGTTTAATTTCATTGCGGGCCTCCTGTGAAGCAGCATATAGTCCGTAATAAAACAAATGCAGGAGCAAACAACTGTGACTCATCAGTGGGTATAATCATGCATATTCCTGCCACCTCCAACAGGCGCATGTCATTCTGAAAAAAGATAAACAAAGCGCATACAAGGGAGCGCTACGTGGGAGCATCAGTGGGTGTCTTGATTGTGATCATGACCTGCTCACCTCTGCCAACCACAGCACATGTACAAAGTACAGACACACCCACCCTCCCACAGTCACTTACAGGCACTCATCTCCAAGTCAGGACAACGTCATCCCCGCATGCCTCCTCCAACCGGAAATGTTTGTTTGTCCTGCATCATTTTTTGAGCCTGCTGACATTTTGTCCTCGTCACGTTGAGTGGTAGCTACACTTAGCCACCGTCCAAGGCACGGAGGCTTGGAGACGGATGTGCACTCTAACCTGATGATCCATGCCCTGATTCCCAGAGGCTACATGTTTGTGTGTGTGTGTGTGTGAGGGGGGGGAGATAGAGAGAGAAAGAAGGAGGGGGGTTCTGCAGGCTTTTAACAGCTGGCTTCTTCCAATAGGCTGTCAGCAACCACATCCGCCTAATATTATCACTGCAGGATGTTGATGTGCACGAGTCAGATGGGGGGGGGGAAATGGGGGCCAGAAAAGTCAATTTGAAAAACTGAACGGGTCAGGTCAAATCTGCAGTTTAAGAGTCTTTCTTCAGGCCTTAAAGTGACTGTAGCATCTGTAAAACAAACTGTAAGTAATGGGAAGAGCATCCAGTGTGGCATTTTTAGTTTAGTTTTTAACAACCTTACTAATTTTAAGCTCAAATTCTTTTTTTTTTTACCACAACAAACTTAATTGGAGGAGGAATAAGAATAATCTTGGATAAGGTCAGTTAAATTCCCAGTTCCACCAGGTGTTTGATCATCGCTGCTGCTGCTAGTCTGTAGGAGAGGAGAGGAGAAGATGGGGAGAGGAGTCCTCTGTGAGGCATGACTTCGGCTGGAGAGGCAGAGCTTTGGGTGAATGGGTGGTGCATTGGACGATGAAAAGTTTAGGCAGCCCTGCATGGTTACCATGAAAGATTTGAGGGTTTCACAAAATAATCGAAGCAACAGGTATGTTTTTCACATTATAACATGATTTAACGCTCAAAAAGGTCAATTTTCCAAAAAATCCAGTCCTTTTCTTAGTCTTTCCTTTGTTTCACCGGTCACTTTATCGCCTCATCATCAGGACGTGGTGAAGACGACCTCCAGAGGCAGACATACAGTCTCCAGGACGAAACAATGATTTACATTACTTTGAATGTTGCATGACTGTTGCTGAGAAACTGGCCAGAGTATTTAAGAAGTTCCTGATATATTTATGTGTTGCATTTCAAAAATGGGAATGGCAGCCCACTGAATTTACTAACTGCTGTGAAAGTGTTGCTTTTTTTTCCACCGTGTATGCTTTGTTTGACTTTCTAATTTCTAGAAAGTCCAAAGAGGAAGCCCAGTTTCACTGCACATGAAGAATTCATAAAGGCAGTAGCGCACATTCCCAGTTTAAAGACAAACTTATAAATATGCTCTTTAAAGAGGAGTCGTCATCAGAACAACACTGTCATGATGAAACGAAAAGAGATCTTTGCTCCATTTGCAACATTAGCATAGCGTTAAACTAGATTAATCATGCATTGGAGTTAAGTTGCAGAGAGCCGAGAAAGGGGGGAGTGGGCTCAATGAGAAATCAGAATAGTCTGAGCATTTAAATGAAATATGCAAAATCTTGACATAAGTCTTCTCATGCATGTGAATAACAGATTATGTATTAGCCTAGGAAGTTCTAAGAGTTCGGAGCTTTTGGGCTGTAACACTGAGTAAAGTTCATCCACACAGAGGCTGCTTGCAAAACCCGTTCAACACCAGTCATGAATTTCTGAACGTCCAACTTCTGCCTCAAGCTGTTGCACACATTTATTTCTGGTGCACACAAACGTATCTTTATCTCACAAATGTCTGCTTTTTTACACAGGCTATGATCTGCATATGATCGGATGTATTCCTTGTTTTAGCCAATCATAGAAAACTAGCAAGATAAGCAGGTGAGCTAAGCTAGCGAGTAAGTGAGCTAAACTTGCGCTAGGTCTTCTGCATGCTAGTAGCATCAGGGTAGTCACTGGTGTCTTTCCATATAGTTGAATTTCTTGTTAATAATATGTAACATGTTTGACATGATTTATCTCACTCGCTTGCTAGCCTGTGTTGATAGTTGAACAATAAAACCAAATACCAAATAAATTAAGCAACTTTTCATAACATGGGGAAAAGTAGCTAAATATCTTCATTTAGATAGGTATTTCTCTTTCTCCTCCGCCGTCAGCACCAAAAGCCGTCCGTCCATCCATCCGTCCGTCCGTCCGTCCGTCCATTTTCTAACACTCTTGTCCCTATTGGTTTTTGGAGGGGTGTTGGTTTTAATCTCCAGCTTACGTTCCTTGATTTACTCATAAATCATGACCTCATATGGGATGCCCTCTTATGATTGGCTGAAACAAGAACGCTATCTGAATAGTTGCAGATCATTCCCTTGGTGTAAAAAAGCACATTTGTGAGTTGAGCCAAATCTGGGGGGTTCTCAAAATTCACACAGGAAGGCAACCAAGTTCACAACAAGCAGGTTGTAAATCAAGATAAGTGTGTTTCTGCATCAGAAATACATGTGTGAATTTTGTTCTGTTCAAACTCCTGTCCTGTGAGCTTGTGAATACTGAGACTGCTTTAGCTCCACGTTAACTCCGTGCCTCTCCCAGACGAAGCTGCTGGCTGAGCTTTTGTCGTGCCTAATTGTATGAACTGTTTTTCATCCCGTAAGCGTTGCAAACTGCTTCAACGCTTGTCTGCTCAGCTGTGTTGGTCTCTCTCTGAACTGCACTGAAAACATACAGCCGGAGCTAAATCCATGCAGATACATGAAGGGCCCGGCCGAAGTACAAACCTAAATCCAGTTGAGATTTTAAGAAATGAGGGTTAGTACGTTTCTCCAGGCAGTCTCGCTAAGCTTGAGCCATTTTTCAAAGGAAAATTAGCAAAATCCTTTTTATATGTGCAAGACGCAGCCTAAAAGACACGCAGCTGAATTTTCTTCAAAAATTGGTGCTACAAAAGGGCTGAATACAGAAGCATTCTTCAATTTTCAGGGATTCTTATATATATATATATATATATATATATATATATATATATATATATATATATATATATATATATATATATATATATATATATGTGTGTTCTGCTTTGCACTAGGAAGCATGGGGGTTGTGATGAAACATTATGATAAGACACTGTTCACCCATATGTTCGTTAGTTAGTCGTCTTCAGTCTTGTTTGACGTCTGTTCCAGAGTGGAGTAGAGCAATAATAAAATGTGCTGAAGTCAATATTTCTATACAGTAGATCTTGGTGCCTTATTGGCACTTTTATTGTCACAATTAGCAGCCCCTACATTAGATTTCGTCCCCCTCTCGCCCTTCGGCTCGTTCATAAAAACTAACATCCCAAATTCTCCCTGCGAAATTCCCACATCCATCAAACCGACCTTTCTCTGCGAGCACGACTGCAAACGTGTCCGCGCAGAGGGAGCTCGGCCCCTCTGTTTACATGTGCAGCGAGTCCTCCGGCACGTTCTCACACACCAGCCCTCCCACACACACCCCCGCCCTGTACTTTCTCATTACACAAACGTGCAGGGAAACACCGCCTGCGTCTCGATGTCTGTGCACGTCGGGTTCGTCGGAACGAGGCGCCGGCCGGCGATCTCTCAGCGGGACCCTTGCGTTTCGTGAGGTTTTCTCGCTCGACCGTCAAAAAGGGATCCATCTGCGTAATACTCCTCTGCAGGGGAGACGCAATATCTGTTCTTTGAATTCAATAAGTAGAGAACGGCTGCTGGACTTTTTGACAGAGGAAGCATAGAGACAGTCCAGCTGAGCAGGCTTGCATATGACTGGGTCGTGATGAAGAACACAAAGTGGCAAATGCACCGTAACTTCTTTGAGTCGCACTATGAAAGCCCTTAAAATGCCATCTGTCTAACTATAAAAGAATTGTTTTGAAAAGTCGTGTAGTCCTGAGAAGTCTGAGATAAGAGGCCTTCATCTGATCATAAACAGGATTAATCCGAAAAGCACGGCAACATTTGCACATGTCCTTTTCAGGCTCATTAAGTGCCGATCGCCTTGTTAGACTATCACAAAGGTCAGATTAAACAGACCGGCAAGTCTGCAGTTCTCCTTTTGAGCCAGCAGCTCCCTGCAGGTCAGTGAAGTATACGTCAGGGTTTATCAGCTTCTGCCAGGAGTGTGGCAGAAAAATTCAGCATGCACTCAAAATCAGCATAAAAAAATTTATTAATAAAGCAAGGGGTACATCTGTAAACCTGTTGTGTTTCCAGTGTTAACACCGGCCCTAAGATTTATTTAAATGTATTCTTCCAAAAATAACACCAGGAAACCCTTTCTTAGCCAAAATGGAAATAATTCATGAAAACAGCTTTGTTTTGTGCGTGGTGCCTTGTTTCGGAGCAAAGTCCGTCCATTTTCAGCAGGGCAGACGTCCGGGCTGTTGCAGAAACTGGATGTTGGTCGGCTTTTTACATTCTAATCGCGGTTTGGAATATAAAAAACTGTGGAAAGTTTTTCCATGCTGTTGGAAAACCCGTCACTGTCCAAGTTTCATCCATGTTGTTGTTGATTTGAGGTCAAGTTGAAGAAAGGCTTTTTAAATTTTTTTTTTACTCCAATTGATGTAAAGGTTGCACAAAAGCAAGAAACACACACAAGAATGTGTGTTTCTTGCATTGTCTGGTTCAGCATTTGATCCTCATTTTAGCAGAATTGATAGAGTCCATGTGAACCTATGGCTGGGTTTCTGAAACGAACCCATTTTCTAAAGAACAGTCCAGACATTTTCACCTGGGTTACTGTTGGGGCATTTTCAGAAACGTAATGTCAGCTTGACTGATGGATTGTTTTATATTTAGATGAGCCAAAGGCTGATATAGTTGACTTTGACAACATGAAGTGTGTTTGGACCAAAGTGAGGGCTCCAGTTCCTAACAACACTGCACCCACTGCTAAGCACGGTAGTGGCTGCATTAGTGGAAAAAGGAATAACGAGGTTCAAGTTTTCTCAATTGTCATTATTCAACAAAACATTGAGCGCAAGCTCACATCAAATCCTGTTCTAGAATGGATGCGAGTGAAATGAGGCTTCTGGAAATGACCAGAAGCCTCTTCGCTTTTAGACCATGTTCAGAAACAAGGCAGGAAACTGACCAGTTTAAATGAGCTCCAATATTTCTGCCTAAAGTGCTGCCAGAATCACGTCAGAACAAACATAAGGCTGGCGAATGAGAAACAATTAATCAAACATTAATGGTGACAAAATCTCGACTATTCCACCTTGTGCACTGAGCTAAAATCACTGGTTTTTTTGTTGTATAATCAGTCTAAACTGAAAAAAAAATCTGTTAAAATAAATCATCAAAAGCCCAAAATGATATGAAATTCATTCTGAAAAGTGTCCTTAACCCTTGTTGACCACTTTCACAAACCAAAGTCTAGCTTTTCATTTTCTGTCCTTTTACCCCTTTCCCATAACCTCCGGAGTTTTTTTCTTCTTTTTTTAAAATTGTTTGAACGTGCGCTGGCAAGATTCAAAATGATATGAAATCATCACTCCAATCTTTCCTCCAGGTTTTTTTTAAAACCATTTCTGACAAAATGGGCTTTAATTATTCTTTAGAAGCTGCACTTTAGCACAAGTCCACCAGCATCATTTCTGTTGCAATCAATATCACCATATCATACAAAATAGTACAATACTGTTTCCATAAAAACAAATATAGACAAATACTCAGACAAATCATTTAGTTATGACATACAAATCCGACACATACCAATAACTTCACTGTTTGTCTCTTTTAGAAAAAAAATAGCAGATACAATAAAAATATGATCTTACTGTGGTTTCCTCTGTGATCTCCAACGTCGTGTTAAAGCTGTGACAGGTGGATGCATTCAAAGGGAAGGAAGAGTCTGCAGATAAACACCTTCCTGAGCGATCACAAATTGCAGGTTCATGCACAATGGGCATATTGTTTTACAATGAATGCACAATATATATATATATATATATATATAAAATATACAAGGATGCAAAACTGGAATCATACGTATCTCCTGGTGTCCCTCTTGCACAGTATCTTTTTGAACGACCTCCTGAAGTCGTTGTTGAAAACGGTATATATCAAAGGGTTCAGGGCACTGTTGCAGTAGCCGAACCAGAAGAAGAACTTGAACAAGGTGGTAGGCACGTTGCAGGATATGCAAAGAGTTTTCAGCATGTAAGTAAAGAAAAAGGGAAACCAGCAAATGACAAAGACACCAATGACCACCGCCAAGACGAAGGTGAAACGTTTCTCACGATTTTGACGACCTTTCCAGCGACTGCCTTTGGTGTTCGCCTCTTGCTTTTGGACGTTGGAATCCCCTGGTTTGATTTGACTTAGTCTGGGTTTCCCCTTGTTTGCTTTCTTTCTAATGGAGCATGGATTGTTCACCTTATGGTCAGAGGACGATGAGTCCTCAAGGTCCACTCCATTGAGCTCACCTTTTGCCTCCTCTGCCTTCCTATGTCCTTCTACTCCCTGGAGCTCAATGGCCTGTTCGCCGTTCAGTTTCTCGTGACAGAGGCGGTCCTTGTCATCGCCTGCACCATTCTCCTTCCCATTCGCAGCAGGAGTATTAGGTGACTTCAAAATGGCATTTGGCTTACGGTCTCCGGGTGGCGCCCGTGTCCTTTTTTTGGCGATTTGGTAGATCCGTACGTAGACCAGTACCATGATGACGCACGGTAGGAAGAAGGATCCGATGCAGGAGGAGATGACGTACCATTTTTGGTCATTGATCTTGCACTCGGGGTATGCCTCGTTGTTGTTTTTCTCCATTGTGATAAGTGGCGGGAACGAGATGACTGCAGCAATCACCCAAACAATAAAGATGATGCACTTGATGCGCCGAGGCGTCCTCTTCAGGTTGTACTCGATGGCCTGTGTGATGGACCAGTAGCGGTCTAAGCTGATCGCGCACAGATGGGTGATGGACGCGGTGCAGAAGAGTACGTCGAGCGCGAGGTAAATCTCACACCACACGTCGCCGAAGTACCAATATCCCATGAGTTCGTTGGCCAGGGAGAACGGCATCACGAGGGTGGCCACCAGAATGTCCGCCGAGGCCAGGGACACCAGGAACAGGTTCTGCGGGGCTCGCAAGGCCCGGCTTGTAAACACAGCAATGACCACCAGGACGTTACCGAACACTATGAGCAGGATCATGAAGCCCACGAGCAGCGGCAGGGCTACCCGGAGGCTGTAGGGGGCCAAGCTGGGTAAGCTCTGGTTGGTGCTGTTGTTGTCCGCCATGATGGCAGACTGGCCCACTTCCTCTCAGAGTTCACCCGAGGTTACAAATATCATCCGCCAGGAAGGAAAGAACTAGTGATTCCCAGGAGACCTGAGAGGAGAAGAGACTGAATCGCTCCTCTGAGACGTTCCTGGATTTGTCCTCCTCATTGTGAGGGATACTTTAAAAGATGACACTTTATCTGAAAATAAAACAAGAAGGGGGGGAAAAAAGTGCATATCATTTATCACATTCTGAGAATTATGTCACCAGACCTCCTAATGCAATTAACTCAGATCTACAGCCTGGGACCGCTGTGTGGATAAAATGGAGGTAAATGTAATGATATACAGTCCTACCTAAAACAAGGAGCGATGACAGCGGCTCTCCAGAGGCGGGCCACAGAAACAGCGCGAACCGGGGGGGGGAACTTCTTCGGGCGAATCAAGAGGAGGCAAAGAAGATCCGTGCGCCGGACGGAGCGGAGCGGAGCGTTCCCCCTGCGCCTCTGGTCCCTCCGCGCTCTGCGCTCTCTGCGCTCTCAGCGCTGCATCTCGCTCCGCTCGGCAGCGGACTTAATAGAGCGCTAATCACGTTATCCCGGGCGCTGCCGTGTTGCCGTCTGCGTGTGGGGTTTCTCTCCCCACACTGCTCTCCAGAGCGCCACTCCCCTCTCCTTATAGCCCGAGCGCCGCAAAAAAGAAAAAAAAAAAAAAAGCGCCCCGCTCGCCGGGTCAGCCGCCGCGCGTACGTCCGTGGGAGTGTCAACGCTGGCACGCTGCCCCACCGTGTTTGTCTGACAACAGCAGCATCAGCTGGAGAGGCGTTTTAAATGACTGGAGAGGAGCTGGAGGAGGAGAGGAGGGACAAGGGACATATGTCCTCGAGTTGGTGTTAAACAAACAAACAAACAAAACCATATAAATACATGAGATGTGGAGACTGACTGCAGACCTACAGGCAGAAAGAAGCAAAGGCCCACATTCACATGTGCTGAAAAAAGTAATAAGACAGTGGAAATGAATCTTTTATGGTGACTTTATTTATCAAGACTTCTTGAAATGTGTCACTTGTGCTAAATGAATGAATCGAATACACGAGAAGCTTTTTGTGCACTCAAATATTAAGGACAACAAATAACTTTATGTCATTTGCCTGCCAAGGATGCCTCAAAAAGAGCCGAACCTTAAGGAAATAAATAATGAAAGTCAGGGACAGATTTACAAGGATGTGGCCTCCTGGGCTGGAGCCAGGTTTGGTGCCGAGCCACAACAGAATTATTATTATTATTTTTACAAATGCAGCTTATTTATTTTAAGACATAGACTTAAACTATGTCTGCTGATATGGGTATCAATTCATAACAATCAGTCGGTATGAATTGCTGTGTGGCAGATTTTAATCCAACCTGGACCCGGTAGCTCCTGGTTGTTCCCAAACAATCTACCACACCTCCATAATTCTCAAATATTTGAATGTTGTTTATATTCATAAAAAAATGACAAAATGTTAATGCAACTCGCCTGATATTTGAGGTGAGTTGCATTAACTCACCTCAATACATAAATGTATTTTGTATGTGCATAAATGGTACTTGTGTAAAGTGCCTTTTTTTTTTTTTTTGCAAAACATGTATTGGTAAAAAAAAAAATTAAATTCAATAAATTTAAAAAAATTAAAATCTATGGAGCCCCCCCAAAATATCATGGCACTGGGCTACCACCACTTTCTAAAGTCTGTGCCAGATAAAAATAGTATACGTGACCAATAATGATTCAGAAAGAATATTGGTTTCGTTGGTCAAGAAGCCCAGGAATAGTCTGCAATAGAATGATAATGGGATTAAAATTAATAAAACAAAAATAAATAATCTAGATTTATCAGCATAGCAAAACTCCTCAGTAAGTCTGTTATTTAAAGCAGGCATTTTTTGTAGCGCAGCTGCATCTACACTGTTACTAAGCAGCAGCCAGATCCACACCAGATGAATATCGACACAAAGCGTTTTAGATCTTACCCCAAAACTTCAGCCATCAATTCTGACCTTCAACAACAACAACAACAAACCTATGAAGGTCCCTTTGGACTGATTTGGGGAGTCATGGACGTTTATTGTGTTCAAGGTCTGCTGTTATAAAGCAAGAATAGAAAGACTTTATTGTTGGTATGCATACCCCCTGTTAAGAAGCACATCACAAAAAAGTGCAATATGAAGTTAACACTGCTCTCCAGTCCTTGGGTTGATGGAGTGGACATACCACCATGTGCTATAAAAAAAAAAAGAAAAAAAAATGGCCACAGGTCACGTTTCTACGAGGACGTAATATTCTCTGTGTTTGAAGTAATTAAAAACTCTATTGTGGAGATTCCATGAACTCTGGGAAACCCAATGTTTGAAGTCAAATATTTGTTTATGAGACGGCTGTCTTCATTTGCTTTTTGCTGTCCAACAACTTCATATGTACCTGGAAAACAAATTCGCCAGTGTTTGCTTTGTGTACGTAACAAGTGACGGAGTCACAGCTGTCATATAATCGGAGTATAAATTAGGTCTGCGCATGATGATTACCGCCCAGTTAGACCAGCGTGTTTTCTAATTAATTCCCCTAGGGGTAAAGACAAGCTGATCTACTTCTGCTTACCGTTTCATGTCAGGGTGTCCTCGAAACTGGAAGCCATTCTTAGCAGGAAAGTTTTACGGTGTTCCATTTCTCCTCCAGAGAAGAAATAACTCCTGATGGGAAGACATGGCGAAGAATATGTGCGAGAACAGGGTGTTAGCACTGCATGTGTCAGCCAGATGTGTTGTGTGGAAATGCTGCCAGCCTCTGAAAATGCTTGCTAATATGATGGGGGGAAGGCACAAAGGTCTTCACAGTGTTTTATATGTAGAAGATTTAATCAAATGAAATGTCATCAAATTAGAAAGCAACATGCATGTTTTTTTGGTCCAGTGTGAGGTTTATTTTTGAAGGCTTTAGTGGATTTTATCATGTGTGTGCTTTTTTTTATTTATTTTTTAACCAAAGCTATTAAATAGTCTATTCTAGAGTGGGCTGTGGAGACCCTCACATGAACACTTTATGCATCAGGTGTGGCACCAGATATCAATAAGCTGAGAAACGGCTCTACTTACTGAGGTGCGGTCATTTGTGTACAGAGAAAAAAGGAGTGAGGAGAGAACACACCTCTGCGGGACGCCAGTGCTGATTGTTCTGATGTGAGAGAAGCTGCTCTCCAGCCTCATTCAGTCAGTCAGGAACCTGGTGGTCTACCGACAGGTGGAGGTCTGCACTGCAGTCTGAGTGAACTGCTAGAGGAGGATGTCTTGGTTAAAGGGGTCGAAGGCCCAGCTGAAGTTCACAAACAGGATCCAGACGTATGTGACGGGTGTTCGAGTGTCTGAAGGACACTGAACTCTACCAGCATTTTCAGCTGACTACTATCTCCACCTGAGCATTTTTTTTGTTTACTGTACATTTACTTTTTTTTTTTCTTAGGTTCAAGGTTTCTGTTGTGCAAGTTTTTATATCTGTCAGCCATTCTGCGAAAGCTGACCAAGCAACTGTTGTACTTTTACAGAAAGTAAAAGGACAACACAGTATGAATCTGATAGACTGTTGGACAGAGTGTCGGTGGAGGACGGAGATGGTGACTGAAAAGAGGCTTCAAAAACGTCACTTTTATGAAACGTAAAAATAAATCAGCGGAAATGTGCAAAACAATCTTTAAAAAAAACAAACAATAAAACTGATCACCAACGGAAGGGTGTAACTGCTGCGACAATAAATTCTGTTTGAACGTAGAAGAAAGTAATATTCAACACGTCCTTTTTATTCAAATGTAATTTTTTATTATTTTTTTTAAATTGAGGCTTTTATTATAATTTTAGATACGCTAATCTCATTTCAATTCAATGCCAAAACTATGAAAAAAACATTTTATTTATTTATTTTTGACAACTTTTCATTGAAATCTGCAAAGGGTGTGAATACTTCGTGTCTCACAGCTGCAGCATGAATGCTAGTCAACATTTATGAATTAAGACCGTCATCTTCGGTCATCACTCGCTTATTAAGATGTCTGCTTCAAGTTTACGGTCACAACAACTTTTTTGGGGGGAGGGAGGAGGGGGGACGTGACGTCACACACACCTGTTCCCACGGAAACGGAGGGGTGTGACGCGCCGACCCTGCTCACCCCGCTCGCTCAGAGAAAGCAGCGATAATTGACAAGAAGGCGCTCCGGCTGAAAACACAGCTTTAATGGGTTATTAGCGATCCGACCGCCTCTCTGATGAACCACCGCTGCTGCTGCTGCTGCCGCCATAAACCAGAGAGGATTTCACAAATGTGGTGGGGAGGCTTTTAGCTGGATCGCTCAGGTCGCCCACAGCATTAAACATGGAGGGAGGGAGAGGGAGAGAGAGAGAGAGATGAGTTGTTCTCGGTGCTCTGTGTTCACACAGCGGCTGTTTGCGGACAAACACTCGTGTTTCGAGGCGCCGGTTGACGCCCGTGGGGGCCCACGCTGAAGCTCAAGGATACAGTGACACCTGTCGTTCTCCGACCAGAGCCGCTGGAGTGCGCGGCAGCACGAGACCCGGCTCAGTTCCGGGGGAAGTAACTAAAACGCTGCAGGGGAAGGAAGTGAAGGTTTTGTTTTGTTGTCCCCCCTTTTTTTTGATAAGAACAAACGGCCCACGAATCAGAAAAAAAAAAAAAAAAAAAATATATATATATATATATATATATATATATATATTATATATATATATATATATATATATATATATATATATATATATATTATCTCTGACTGGCAGAACTTCCTTTTACGAGTTTCTAAAACGCCTCCTTGTGATTAAAGTATGAAATGAAAAGGAAACGCGCATGTGTCGCCCTGTCGACTTTCAGATACATCTGAAAGTCGACACCGACTAAACACCGGACTAAACATCCCAGGTAAACACCGCCCCCTGGCCAGCAGGGGGCGGTGTTTACCTGGGATGTTTCTGTCCCTGAAGTTGGAGCAGATGCTGGAAAACATCTGAAGAAGCTCCTCCTGCTTCAAGAGAGAAGACGGACCCGGTCCGTCCAGAACCGTGGAGTGGCTCAACATGCGCAGCTGGTGACGTCATCTCCACCTGAAGTGTCCCAGGTCTTCTCCAGACGCAGAGCCGCCATGCTGGTGCATTTCTGTATACTTTTAATCATAGTTGACTTTCTAATTATAATTATAGAGTCAATGAGCTCATTTTAACGCGTTGCAGTTCGTATTTTGTCTCTGCAGAGCTTTTTTTTGCATCTATCACAGTCATCTGTGTGTGACTTCATTGCCGACTGGCTGAACAATTTTGGTCTTCACCACTGGCTCACTTCTGTTACCAACCTGTACAATGCTACAGTCATTCTATGCTAACAAAACTTGACGCTAAAATATAGAAATATTTCATTTATGCATTTCTATCATGATATTGCAGGGTTTCCCCCAGTGCATTATAATTCTGGCGGCCCGCCATGCTTTACTGCCCCCCCGCCAGAATTATGTACGGCGTTTGCATCCCAGCACGATGTCCAACGCCTCACTCCAGTTGGCCGGTGTGTTGGCGGTTATCGAACCAGCACTAATTACTCATCATGCGGTTTTCAGCCCGGTGAGGAGCTTTCGCACTCTCCTCGTAGTCACTTTATATCATTTTATTATTATGTCTGTTATTATTTTTCCAGTTACAATGCTTTGTCCACTTAGTCAGACAGAGTTAATGCACGCAGCCACATGGAGATCTGAGAAACTCGAGCAACCAAAAAACATTTTCTGTGATTCTTACTGAAAACTCAACAGACAAAACGGAAGAGCTACTAAAGCCACATTTACCAGCATTTAATTAAATCTCCATCTCTGCGCGCATAGTGCAGGGAAAATAACTCATCATGCAGGGCCGGTCCAGGGCTGTGTGAGGCCTTCGGCAGAATTTGACTTAGGGGCCCCTCTTGCTGCGAAAATCATCAGCATCTCTAACAGCTTCTGTGTCAGATTTAGTCAAATCTGGGAGAGGGGGCTGGGGGAAGTAGTTTCATTGGCCAACCTAAAAACATTCAGTTGTAGTGGCAGTTTACTCATTTGTATTCGTGCCAAGTAATTCAAGTGCAGAAATATTGTTTACAAGTTATTGTAAATATATAATGTGAATATATTATGTATAAATATTTAAAAAATAGGCTTCAGTACAGATTTAAATGGCACAAACCGTGTAAGATATGCAGCCTTCATTAGAAGTGATAACTAGAACAGGTCCAATAAGTAATGTGAGGTTGACCATTACTTGCTTTAGATCAGTCTTTCTCAAACTGTGGTTCCTGGACCACTGGTGGTCCGCGGGCGCCCCCTGGCGGTCCGTGAGGTACTACATGTAAACGACCGCTTATTTGCTGACTTCAGCTCAAAGTATGATTCTACAGTTAGCTTTCCAAATGATTGTGTTTATAAAACAATAATGGATAATTGGCTTACGACAATTTATGCTGCATCAGGTACGTAAAACCACAAATGCAACAATGGGCTCTTTGCACCTCAGCTTCCGCGTTCAGGAAAAACAGCTCAAATGTTTCCGATCTATTGAAAACGGTATTTTACACAGGGTATTTGCAGGGCTTTTCCAAGGTAACAATTAATAGTGTACATCGATCCGAAGCCCCAACAAAGTAAGCCGGAGAAAGGTTTTAAAATGTTCGCCTCATTATACATTCACAGATACGAAGGTGAGTTTTACTTTCTTTAAACTTTGTGGCTAACATTAGCTTTAGCTTATGCTAGTAGCCAATATTCTCGGACATTTTCTTGAAAAAATCTGCTATTTAAATATCTAAACATTTGTCATCCATTCTAATGGCCATTGTTTGTACCTTATTTTCAAGTATATTACATGTGTTTATTGTTAAATGTTGGAATCTCAAGACATTGAACATTCACAATCCAGACGGCTCATTGACATTTGATTTGAGTATTTCACAACAATGTTCAATTTTTCTAACGCACTTGTGCCTTTCGCAGTCCCACTTGGCTGGGGACTAGGCTACATATTGACAACTGGCATGGAGAAAATGTTCAATTATTTACATGGAAGTACAGTGGACCCGGCTGGGAACATATCTTCTGCAAGGGAGTATGTGAAGGTCCCCAACGATGAGGCTACCCCGGCTGGGGTAGGTCTCTCTTCGACAGAGAACACTACCCCGGTTGGGGTAGCTCTCACAGTGTCGGAGAACACTACCCCGGTTGGGGTAGGTCTCAAAGTGTCAGAGAATGCTACCCCGGCTGGGGTAGGTCTCTCTTCGACAGAGAACGCTACCCCGGCTGGGGTAGGTCTCTCTTCGACAAAGAACGCTACCCCGGCTGGGGTAGGTCTCAAAGTGTCAGAGAACGCTACCCCGGCTGGGGTAGGTTTCTCTTCGACAGAGAACGCTACCCCGGCTGGGGTAGGTTTCTCTTCGACAGAGAACGCTACCCCGGCTGGGGTAGGTCTCAAAGTGTCAGAGAACGCTACCCCGGCTGGGGTAGGTCTCAGATTGTCAGAGAACACTATCCCGGTTGGGATTTAGCTACCCGTGGAGCTAGCCATGGAGTTCGCCGTGAGGCTAAGAGTGGACTTAGCCGAGGAGCTTGGCGTGGAGCAAGCCGTGAAGCTAGCTGTGGAGGTAGGCATGGAGCTAGCCACATCGTAAAGTCTAGTGCAGCAATATATTTATAGTTTTCTCCTCTTACCACAGCAGTCACTTATTAATAATCGCAAAATAAACATTAAGCCTCAAACCAACAGACTGAATGCTCTGCTTTTTGTGGGAAGTTCGTTGTCGTCAGTTAGGAAACAAGCTTGCTGTGCTGACAGAAAGCGAGAAAGAAAGATACAAATGTCTCATTTGTATTTGTGACAAATTTAAGTGTAGAAATATTATAAGATTTTACAAGATAAACCCTCCAGCGTAGTCCGCATGCGCAAAATTTCCTTATGTAAACAATAACATGCAGGGGGGTCTATACTGTATGTATTTGTAAATCTGATTATGATGAAATTGGTGCCTCACCAGCTATGAACCTTACGGCACTACCAAAGACTGAGATACATACTGGCAGATGTACAAACATTTTTGTTACAGCAGTCACTTTATGTGTTAAATATGGCAGCCATATTTGATTATAAAGTTAGGGTCAACGAAAAATCATTAACTTTCCTACTTGGAGCTCTGGCTTGTCCTGTTTTTTTTTGTTGTTGTTGTTTTTTTTTACAGGGCTGAACTTCATATTAAATCCTGAATAAAAAGTTTATTCACAAAACACACAACCAAACATGTCGTGCCAATAAAAACAAACAAATAATTTTTTTTAATTGCCATTTGTAGCATCCCGGTTGAAAGGATGGTTGAAAGGTGAACTGATGGTTCACAATGTTTGATTTTTTTGTATGTGAACACACCGTAAGAGCTAAAAAAATATACAAATAAAATACCATCAATAACTCAAACACTGTTGTTCTAACATTTTACCTTAACGTATAAATCCTTTTTTTTGTATTCTATAACTAAACTTTCTGTCATAAAATAAAGTGTAACATATTAACTGTTAACGGTTGATTAACGAATATTAGTGCCACCTAATGGTAAAATACAACCGTCACACCCAATAGCAAACTACACGTTTCACAGTAAAACTAAACATATATTTACATATTAAAAACTCTCATCTTGTTCCCCGTCAACAAAGCGCCAACCAACTGACTGTCTACACCCTAATTAATTAGTTTTACTCCGACCTGCGCGCTCTCTTTCTGCGCGATTATCAGTTGATTGTCTGACGTTGGCATCACACTTCACACTGACGTGTCAAACCCTTTCAAAATAAAAGCATCAATTTTTTTTTATGTCAACAAATGCTCTTTTTTTTTACGAGGAAACACAAAATACTAATAAGGTTATTTACACCATTATTGATTTGGTTTTAAAATGGTCAGTATGGTGGCATTTTACAATTTGAGTTTGTTCTTTTGAGAAAAGTTTTATAAACTCTGCTTTAAGTAGACAGAAGAGATTGCCATGAAATACATCAATTAGCCCTGACTGCCTTTCTTTCACAGACAATATTTTATAATCTGTGGATGTTTTTTTTTTCTCAGTTCCGTTTCATTTCATTTCGTTTTGTTCCTCTCTTTCTGCTGGAGTAGACACAGATTCCCAAAAAGCATTTATTGTATTCTCTCTCCTTGTTAACTTTCTTTCTCCCGCGCCTTTCTTTTTTCTCCTTTCCTGTCTTGGTTTGCGCTGAAACACACCTAAAACAAACTGTACGACTGCACCAAGCAAATATTGTATCAAAATAATTATTCATTATTGTGAGAGTGAATCTGTTCCTTTTCTGTCCACAAAAAGAAAAAGGGAAACAAATCAACATGTCATCAATTTGACTATTAGAAGTGCCAGCACATGTTTTTGAAATGAACGCCCCTTAACAAAAAACGAAAACAAATCCGTCGACAATAACGGCCTCTCCCAAAACAACGATGCGAGTCAGTTTTGGTGGAATTCCCCTTTAATGCCACAGACGCGTGAAACATAAGCTTAATGCACATCCACCTCGGAGCATATTGGCATCATCTTCCAATGCAGTCTTTGTCTTCTTATAAAACTCTTCACATAACAGATTTTGTAATACCAAGTCTACAGATTACTGTACAGAGTAAAAGAAAAACAATACAAACAAAATAAATGATAAGACAGAGGAAAACTAGAATCAAATGTACATTGTAACGACCAGTTGCTTGTCATCAAGTACAGTCAGTGGCCATAGACACGAGAATTAGCCAAACACATAAAAAAAGGAAAGAAAAAAAATAACCCATTAAGGCTGCTCGTCAATGTAGATTAAGTAGGAAAAGCATCAGCACACAATGCTTCAAGACCCTTTGCGATATACAAAAAGGGAGCATTTCGCAGGTAACACCAAAAGTAGCCACTAAAGTTGTCTAAGCAAAGAAGGCCTGATTGTGACCCGGACAGACTGACGGACCGGGTCAGGTGTGTCCCCGCATGCTCTGCTGCCTGTACAAAAGGAAACCAGTCGAGGGATGGCGAAGTTGCACGGTGTAGGAACCAAGAAGCAAAGCAGAATGAGCAAAAATGACGGATTCTGTCGGAGAAAAGGAGGAGGAAAAAGAAAAGAGAGAGAGAGAGAAAAATGACACTCGACTCGTTTTGCATTTTGGACGGACCAGTGAACTACATTCTACCGTCGGACGAATGACTCGATCAATCCGACTCTCCTCCAGCCGTCCCGGGTCTTCAAACGCCGACGCGTTGCGACATGGCACGGAAATAATAATAATAATAATAATAATAATAATAATAAAAGAAAGCTGAGAAGATCAAGAGAATGTAAAAACGGGTCACAGCAGTCACGCTGCATACCTAATGCACATCTCACTGTTGAGTACTTGAAGGCATCGTCCCCCTCCCGCCCCACGCACAGCGTAAAGTAAAACACGCACACAAAGAGAGAAGAAACTCCCAAAGCTTGTATATAAAAACCCAGGAATGCAATGCCTCTGGTGTTGTTGAGCGTGAACACAGAAAGCCCTTTTTACAACTGTTCTGCCCCACCACCACCACCCGACAGTCTTGTACTAGAACTGCGGTTTGAGCTCAAATATGCACCTTTTGTTGTGTTGCTTCGTGTCCAAACAATTTGATCTGTTTAACCCACCGAGGCCCGACGTGGAAAAAAAAAAAAACTATTCGGTTCCGCCTCCTCCGCCAGCCTGATCCGCGTGTTTGAGTCAATGAGGAGCAGCAACAGGTTCTTGCTGGTAAATTAGAAGCAGCGTGCCCCCCCCCCCCCACATCGAGGAGCTCAGGAAACTGGACCCGATACGAAAAATCGAATTACGACTCGAACCGGGGAGAAAAAATCGTATCCAAATAATGACCTTTCATAGGGATTTTTTTTTTTTAAATGTACAGTCGCTTGAAAAAAGAAAAATATATACATACTAACTTAATATACATTTAATCGTTTTGGAAAAAAAAAAAAAAGAATAAGCACTTCATCAAAATTTATTTAAAAATGAACATCACGCTCCTTTTAAATGCAAGAAGCCATTTTTTTCAAGCAATGAAGAAAGCAGGATATGGAAGTTTTAAAAAATATTTTTACAGCCCAAGACAAAAGAAAGCTTCTTTAATAAAATCGACAGGGTTAAATTTCACCAAAGTTACTTGTAAAATTCCGAGACTGCCAAACTCAACATTTATATTCGATTGATACAAATTTACATGATAAACCGTTAAAAAAAGAAAGAAAGAAAAAAGAAGAGAATGCCCCCAAAGTTAGAGAGAGGGTCTTTTTGTGTGCCCGCTTCAATACAAATTATGACAATATCTTCAAAAAAAAAAAAAAAAAGTGCATGAAAGCAGCAGCATTGCTGGGACAGTGTGGCACAAATGATATATCTTTAAATAATCAGAAATGGATACAAGTCAAGGGAGTAGTTTCAGTTGTGTGTTTAAGATCATGACACCCTGTTAAACAAAAAGAGAAAAGTTTTAGAGAGGGGGGAAAAAAAAAAAAGTGTCACAGAGGATTGACACGAGTGTCGGAGCAACTTGGCTCCGACACTCGCCAAGTTGCTCCAGAGACTCAGAAAAATGTGTTTTTAATAACGCTTGATATGTTCGTCTATGATCAACTGGATGATGGCCATTAAGTTCAACACTGGAGATATCAAACAAGTAAACATGAACTAAAAATTTCACCCAAGGCAACAACCAGAAATTGTATAAATGTATAAAACATCTATTATTTATCCCCAACACCTATTTATATTTCATGACCCCCTCAACCCGCTAATCCCTCTCAATAACTAGCAGGAGCTGCCTCCCATGCTCCTCATTGGGGTTTGGAGGGGGGCAAAGAAAAGTCCCAATGCCCCCCAGAGTCCCACCCTCGCCCCACCCTCTCTGCAGACATGTAGAATTGGCATTTATCATATGTATACAAAGACTAGCTCAATGCTGAACACCTACTGCTGCTATTTGTTAAAAACGATCTTCATATTTTACAACTGATATCACTTGCATGACAGAATGATGCAACAGGTACAATTAAAAAGTACAATAACCCATAAACAAAGAAAACAAAAATAATAAAAACAGTAGTAATAAAAACACTATTGAAATAATTTATGTCTTTGTATGTCATGGAGAATTGCGTTTAGAAATGAGCCACCGGATCACTCTAAACATAGGCACAGTTTTTAAAACAAACAGAAAAAAAAAAAAAAAACACAAAAAAACATTAGACCTTTGTTCTTTTGGGTCAAGAAACAATTAACATAAGTTATGACCAGAAAAGATTATGTAAAAAAAAAAAAAAAAAAAGCAAAAGTATAAGATGACAGTTTAAAATTACAACAGCAGCAGCAGTAAATGAGAAGTTCCAAAAGACTTGCTTTTTGTGTTTTTGCATACAATTGTATCCTTGCTCACATATTAGATGCTGTAATTACTGTAAATACATTGGCAATGGGGATTACGGTTTAAAAAGCTGAAGGACTCGCGTCAGAGCTCACAGTCACTCGATATATTAAACTTTATATACCTTCAGTTTTGGCAAAACACGTTGAAGAAAGGGGGAAATTTTCTCGTTTCATGATTCGGAATGAAAAGTTGAGTGGGGGTTTGGTGGCCGAGGGGAACGGAGCGCATCATAAATGACCGGGACTGACTCCGGAGGAACACAAAAGACTCCAAAAGTTTGGCTTCCATTTTGGTCAGAGGACTGAGAACAAAATGCGATCCTTAAGCGCCTCCCTCCCCCGTTATTAATGTGCGCCCCCAACACTGATTGTAGCGAGTTTGTTTTTCTTTACAGTGTATGATACACGTAACGGGAGGGCAGGCAGGGGAAGGGGTGCAGAGTAAAGCCAAAGGGTTTTGGACCTGCTCTTGCCTCAGACCATGGCACGGTATGGTCCCTGCATCTTGAGGAACTGGATGATGAAAGAAGGGCCTCCAGCAACAATCTGGGCCGGCAGGTGGGTGAGGGGACAGTTCTCGATGCTCATGATGGACAGCTTGCTGCAGAGAGCCAGCTCAAACGGGAGACTGTGCAGGTGGGGGTTGTCGTTGAGGTACAGTTCCTCCAGATTCTCCAGTGTGCCTGGGAGCAAACGAAGGGCAGTGATTATGGGATTTCTGCAGGTTTCATCAACTCAAATGCAAGACTCCAAGACCACTATGAATAAAATATAAGACCTGTGTCATGACAGAAATGTACAAAAGAAAAATCGCAAGTAAGACGCAATGAAGCAAGCCAATGACAAAGACAGACATCGTCCAGGACAACTGGAGACAAATAGAGGTAAAGAAAAAACACACACAAAGCTAGCTAGCAAGAGCATATCAGCAGCTTGTTAATGGTAGGCGCAATTGTCACCTTTAGTGATAGGACGCGCAAATCATACCATATACTTTGTACAAAATATCAAAATAAATAGTACTGCCACAACAAAATTTAAGACTGTATTATTGTAGTCAAGGCCAACTTATTGTTTTCACTTTAAGACATTTAAGGCCTTAATTTCAGATAATTTAAGACTTTTTAATGACGTACACTCACCCTGAAATATTTAGCAATACAGTTTCTTCAGGTTTCACCAACTCAAATTTAAGACTTTTCAAGACCATTATGAATGAATGACATTTGAGAGTTGTATCCCATCAGAGATGTACTAAAGAAAATCTGTCATGTGGTAAAGCTAAGCTTGTTTACGCACGTAACTGGTTGGCAACAGAAGTGAGCGAATGGAAAAGACAAACGTCGTCCAGCCAACCTGACATCATTCACATTTACCAATGATTGATGCGAAAAAGCTAGCTAGCTAGCAAAGTCTTATAAGCAGCTAGTTAGCGGCACCATCAACCGCCTCGAGTGACAATGTAATGAAGATGTGTTTGTTTGACTCAAACCTTGCTTCACAGAAAACTCCCGCCAGAAAAATAAACACAGAAAATGCTAGATAAAATAGTCCTACTGTGACCAAATTTAGGACATGAATTATTTATATTAAGATTAAATTAAGATTTTTTTTAAGAATGCCCAGGCTTTTCTGTTTAATAACATATTGGATTCTTAACTCTAAAACATTGACCCTGAAAATTCTGGATCACAGTTTGGCCTTATTAACCTAATGTTTGCCGAAAACATCACAAAACTGAACTTGTGGAGTGTCTTAAGGGGTTGGCTAATTGTTTCACATTGTTTTAAGATTTATAACATGTTTGCAGTAATATTAGACACTGACCGATCTCCTCAGGAAGGTGTTGCAGCAGGTTCTCTCCCAGACCAAGGTGAGTCAGGTTGGTGAGGTGACCGATGCCTCTTGGTAGCGTAGTCAGCTGATTATTAGTCAACACCAATTTCTGATAGAAAAAAAGTGTCAAAAATTAAGAAGCGATGCAATGTCAGCACAAAAAACATCAAAGGAAAGATTTAAAAATCAATTTTGACCACAGCAGTAAAGCTCAGTACTGATTGATTGAGAGAAACTGTATCAACCAGCTGATTTTCAGATAAGATATGGTTGGTGATCAGATGGCTTGAAACTCAAAAATCTGATGTCTTTCTGTTTGTAAACACATGTGAGCACAACCAGACTGTGACAACACTCTCCGTTGAAGAAATTGTAACAGAGTTAAAGCCATTACCATTATTCCCAGAGGGTTACAGTTTAAAAGCCATGCCATACCAGATAGAACCAGTGAGTAACCAGTGTGTTCACACCTGCAGGTATCACCAAATCAAATTTAAGTATTTTTAAGACTTGTAACACAAGAGAAACACTGCGTCGTACAACGTTGCGTCATACAGGTTGGCAACAGAAGTGAACCATTGGCAAAGACAAACATCTTTCAACAACCTGACTCATCTTTCAGCCAGCTTAAATAATAATAATAAAACTAATTTCATACTTTGCAGCTTGTTTAGTTGCACGTAGCTGAATGAAAAGTTGCATCTCTTACAAACCTTTAATTTTGAAAACGTTCTTCTTTAATACACATTTGTAGCAAAAGTAAAGCAAAGCAGATACAGATGGCTTCAGCAATCTTTCCACCCAAACTTCAAAAGCGGTTAACAGTACACAAACTCCAGAGGTTATGTTTTATTATTCATCTTTGAACACAAATGCTATGAAACATTGTAACATTACCTGTTTATATCCTTTAAAATGATTTTGACTGTTGTGCTTATTCAATACTTTCAGTCAGCCATAAGCATAAGTCTTTACTTGATTTGTCTCCATTTATGCTGACCAGATTCATGTATTTGAAACACTACAAAGCACATTGAGAGGACAGTCTTTAACATTGCAGTCACAAAGAAAATTACAAACTATCTACATTAAAACATGACTTGGGGAAGAGTTTAAACTGGAAATGACTGAAACCAGATAGAGATGCCCTTCCAATGCATCTGCTGTGCAGTGTAGTCCAAACTGCTCCACATTTATTCTGGATCATGGCAACCAGCCTACACATGCAGGCAGAGTCATGCAATTCTACGGTCAGTGAAAAGCACAAGCAGTGCTGCAGCAGATGGTGCGACCCCCCACAGAGCTCTAAACTCAACACGCCAGCACCTTCAAAAACTGAGTGTCCTCAAGATACATCAGGTATCGATAGTGTGGAGAATTATCTCTTCTCCATGCGAAGTTTGTGATGTATGAGGTTGAAGAAGAGTGAGTGAGTTGAATTCATGAATTCCATTTATTCATACCAAAATAAAGCTGGTCCATGATTCATGCTATCCTTAAGAGAGTTGAAAAAATGGCATCCTACAAGAGGTTCCCATTTCCTTTATCTCTCTGAGCTACGCCCCATTACCTAGTGTGACATCACTTATCCCAGCTCTCATTTACATTTCCTAACATGTGATTTCCTTTAGGTTTTGCTTAGCTTTAGCTTAGGAACTAGCTAAAAGAGAATGTGCTGATTTGAATAGCTTTGTATTTTGTAGTGTTTATTTAGAAATAAATAAGCCAAAAAACTTACAGCAAAGTAAAGAAAACGAGCGTGAAAAAAAGGTAAATCCGGAAAAGTTACCTGTAAATCTTTAAGGTAAGCGATTTCATGTGGTAGACACTCTAGCTTGTTTTCCTCCAAGTCAAGTTCTCGTAACTTTCTCAAACTTCCAATACCGTGCGGCAGCTTCTTCAGAAGATTATTGGAAAGTATTAATACCTGGAAGACAAGGAAGGGAACTCAAATGGACAACTCACATTAGGTGACAGTCTGGTACACATTTCTATGGTTATTGAAGCCAGCCTCAAATGCACACCACACATTGTTTGTATTTATTCTTCTTTCACATTACTTTCCTGCACCATTTTGTTAAATCACATAAAAGCCATTGAAGTCTGTGGTTGCAACATGAAAAATTAAGGAAATGTTCTAGAGGTGTGAATACCTTCGCCTGTGACTTTACATAACATTCTCTTCAGTTTTTTTTCAATCTAAGCATATAGTTGGACCAGATGTTTACATGTGTATATATGACCAATGCACCTGTTTTTTCTATCAGTCTGAAGATAAACCAGACCAAACACCTCTTGTTTTAGATTACTTAGAGTTACCTAAATTAATTATATTTGCTAAATGCGTCACATTAATTTATTAATGTCTTCAAAATTAGAAGTTGGCATATATTTTCCTCAGTAGTCAGTAGAATTTATAGGATTATTAACTTAATCGAGATTCATACACAGATTTATGACAACATTTGTTTTCTGTCGTTTTATTCGGTGTATGCAAACTTCTGGTTTTAACCGTATGTTCAAAAATTGTTTCAAGTTAGAACAATGAAAACCTTAGCTTGATGCCTCAGAGTGAGTAACTAAGGACAAATGTTACAGTAGTTGAAATACATCATTGGTAAAATGCTATAAAATTTCCACTTGATTATAGGCTGCATAATTTAAAGCTTACAGGACAAGTTTCAAGTTTCAGACGCACCTCTAGAGACATAAGCCCACAGATGTCTTCTGGGATTTTATTCAGCTGATTAGTGGCCAGGTTAAGTTCAACCATGCTAGTCCATGTACCGAAATCCAACGGCAGCGCCGTTAGCTGGTTGTCCTGTGGGAGGAAAGGACATTTTGTTTAACACCCATACAAAATGCAAAAGAACAGCAGGGAAGAAGAAGTGCAGACTCAAATATTTTAGCATATATGCTACCTGGAGCCAATAGGAAATGTTTTCAATTGAAATATTTTTTACAAATATAAAACCCTGCACAAAACATGTTACAGTAATTTTCATATAATCTTCAGTTTTATATGTCTTCATATAACACCCCAAAATGCAAAAACTATCAACCTTGAATTTTATCCAAAAGGTTTGAAGAATTATCTTAGAGGCTGATATAATTTACTTTGTTTAAAATAAAATAAAAAGTTAAGAGCATTTATTATTTTAGCAATTTTGAGGGAACAACATATCATGCTAGGGCATAATATTGCAGATCTTTCCTACTTCTGTGTATTTAGTCAATCTCAAAGGCTAATTTTAGAGCTAAATGATGGGTGTGGCAGCTTAATGCTGCTGCTCTGAATTCAGCATTTAGAATCAGTAAATCACTGTACCACACACACTAATATCAGGGTGCAACACTGCCCCCTAGTGTTTTGGAAAATGAAAAGAAGCTGCAATTCCTGGAGAAAGATGCAATATTCTCTATCAAAAAACTACATCAAAGTCTACTTTTCTTTATTTACTGTTTTAGTTTTTAGGCAATACTGGTAAAATAAAAGACAATATAAGTAGTCCAGTTATGAAAATGTACATTTTAAATGAGCAAATTGTAAATTGCTTAATGTCAAAATAAGAAATACTGATTTAGTTTCTATGAATGCTTCAGGTTTAGTCTCCTGTTGCACTCACCAAGTTAAAGACTCTGAATCATGGAGGTGTTTTAATCAGATAAGAGGAAATTAAAATGCACATTCAATTCTACGATTTTTACAAACTTCAATGTTGAAAAGCAAGAAAATTCTCAAAGAAAATTGATGGTTAAAAAAGAATAAAAATACAGTAATTCTGTTAATATCATTAAGGAAAAAAATTTGCAGGCAGGTGCTGCTAACAGAATGCACTCTAATAAATGTGATAAAGTATAAAAGCAGGAGTTTTACAAGTCATTTTTACCAAGTTCTATTGTGTGGAAGCACAGAATTGATGTGTCTTTTTCTTCTAATGACTTTTAAGTACTAATGATCATTCCCATTTGCAAGTACGAGATGTAAGCGTCAGAAAAAGTTAGTGACAAACTAATACTGCAACATCACTGACGTGTTTTTATTTAAATAAATCTCACGATTAAAGTTGTGCAGAAAGACCAAGGTACCTTCATGTTCAGCTTGCTCAACACTTTGGCCCTGGAGAAGATACCGAATGGGATCTTGTTGATACGGTTGTGCTCCATGTTGAGGGTGTAAATGGTGGAGAACTGGGAGGGTCCGCCCACAGGGTACGACTGGAAGCAGTTCCTCGCCAGCGTGAGGCTCGTCAAATTTAGCAAACTCGACAGCAGGCCCTGCCATAAGGAACAGAAAAATTAGATGACGCAGCAGTAAGACGCGAAACACTGACACGTAGCAGTAGAGTAGCTATGGCTTTAATACATATCCATACATAGACATTTTCTCAACACGTTTGGAGCAACACTTTCATATTCATTTTAGGGGTAAAAACCTCTACCTGTCTTACCTCTGGTAATACTGAAATGTTGTTGTTTTCAAGGTTAAGCTCCTCCAGCTCTCGACATTTGGCTAATGACTTGGGGATGGCTGACAATCGGTTATATCGCAGTCCTAAACGATTTATGCTTGCCAAATTGCCTGAAAAATCCAACAAACGCTTTATTGAGACTTAAAATAATAAAAAGATAAAGACACAGAAGAAATTCTATCTTGCATTGAATAAAAGTCTAAAATGTACCCAAGTGCCACACTTAATTACCTATAGTCTCTGGGAGGTCCAAGAGCTCGTTGTGCTGCAGGTCAAGGTTGGTTATTTGTGTGCAATTTCCAATCTCCTTTGGTAGATGTTCCAACTGATTATGGGCAACATCCAGAGTAATGAGGTTGCAGAGCTCCCCTGCAGAGAAATCCACAAGCAATTCAGACTGGGAGGTCGAATCAAGACACTGCCAACAATGCAACGGCAAAAATCACAATTACACGACAGAGTAAGGGAAGGGCTAAGAAAAAAAATGTTAATAACAACATAATGTTATGAGAATAAATTTGAACAACAGTCAGTCTAAATGCTATGACAATAAAGTCGTAATAATACAAGAATAAGCTCATAATATTCAAAGGATTCTAAGTCATAATACGAGAAAAAGTCAAATGTTTTGAGAATAAAGTCACCATAATACAAGAAAAAAAAAAGTCATGTGACTATAAAGTTGAAAAAGTTGGAATATTAGTAGAAGGAAGTAGTCATTTCATAACTTACAGAAAAAATATTTTTTTAAATGAGTAATGTTGAGCATCTTGTGAAGTTATACTTTGGTATTGGTTTTATAAATAGAACATTATTAATCTTTTAATACATCAGCAGCAAACGATAATCAGTAGCAGGACTTTGAAACAATTGTGCAAACAACTGTGTCTATTTGGAAGAAAGACTCAGAATGACTTTGTCATGTCAGATCTTGACAATTCTACTGAAGCGCTTCTCTCTTTAAGAATCTTTTTCTCGTAATTGTGACTTTCTTCTGATAATATTGTGCCTTTGTAGCTAATATAATAACTACTTGTCATTATGAGTTTATTCTGTATTATGACTTAGACTGGCCCTAATACACCGTCATACAATTATGTTATACAGATTCACAGAATAAAAAGAACAACAAAAAGAAACATTGCTGGATAATATAACCAGAAATATTTAGATAAAATCCATAATAAAAACATTTTTATGTCATAATTCAACACTTTATTTCACTCAAATTGACAGACTGTTGTTCCTTTTTTTTAAAAAAATGAAGTCAAAATGTATGGCTCAAATTTCTACATAGGTTTAAGAGTCTAAAATCCAGAGATTTTTTTACCCCCCATCCTTTCCCATTGGTCACACATACCTATTTCTGCTGGTAGCTGTTTAATCTTGTTCTCCCGGATGCTCAGCATGGTGAGCTTGGACAGGTTGCGGATGTCCTTCTCCACTGTAGTGATGCGGTTGAAGCGCAGGTACAGCGTGGTCAAAGACGTGAGCCGGTAGACGACGGGCGGAATCTCTCGGAGCTTGTTGTGCCGGAGGTCGAGCATCCGGAGCATCTTCAGCGAGTCCAGGGAGTCGGGCAGACTGGTCAGGGAGTTCTCGCTGAGGGCTAAAGTGACCAGCTCCGACAGACAGCCCAGCTCCGCCGGTAGGCTCTGCAGCTTGTTGCTGTATAAATAGAGTTCTGTCAACTGCGTCAACTCCTTAATAGCAGTGGGCAGCATGTGAATGGACCTCTTGGACAGGTCCAGTCTCGTAGAGTTCTCCTCCCGACATTTATTGAGCTCCTTGATGACCTCCGCGTTGCTGGATTTCTTGCGTGTACCTTGTGCTGGGTTTGGCCGCTTTATCGTATTGTCAACAGCGAAGGCAACACCCGGCGTCAAGCTACTTGTGTCCTTCTTTCCTTCTTTGGCGTCCTTCCCTTTGGTCTTTGTTTCTTTGCCACCATCTTTGACTAGGCTGGATAAAGTCTTGGCCTCTTTTTCCCTTTCTTTACCCGCCGGACCGCCTTTGGGGTCCTTTTCTTTTGAATCTTTGTCTTTGCCTAAAGTACTACTCATGTTGACGCTATCAGCACCCCAGCAGAGATGTGCATGGGACTCGCTCTCTCGCTAGGTTACTTATTAAGAAACAAAGGGACGCACACAGTCAAGGTAGCTTTCGAAATAAACATCCCCATGCAGGCCGACGCATTTACAATTACTCTCGGAATACTGGCCTCCAGACCCAAAGTTTTAGTTTTTTCTGCCTTTTAGATGCTCCTTTGCTAAAGTGGAATGGGAGAAATTAGCCTGCGAAGCAAGTGACCTGTGGCATCCACAGGACACATGATTGAGTATTTAAACTGCACACAATCCCAGATTCCTTAGTTTGAAGTTGCTTCAGGTTGCAGGATGCACCGACGATTGTTTAATCCCTCCGAAAAACACTGTTGGAGAAAAACATATACATGTCATAATAGTACCAGAAAAATCAAGAAATTTTATGACAATTCTTACACAAAAAAAATATTTGAAACATTCAAATGAGCAATATTGAGCATCTTGTGAAGTTATACTTCGGTACTGGTTTTGAATAGAGCAAACTTATTATTTGAACACATCAGTATCAAATTATCAGTAGCAGAACTTTGAAACAATTGTGCAAACCACTGTGTCTTATTTGGAAAAAAGAATGACTAAGTCATTAAAAATATTTTTTTCTAGTACAACTTTAAATATTACAACTTTCTTCTGGTTATATTGTGTCTTTATTTGCTTAATATTATGACTTTCTTCTAGTAATTTAAAAAAACAACAACAACTCTTAGTGTAGTCCAAGTACTCCTGGTACCTGGCCCCTTTTCAAAGCAGATTAAAGATGTGTTTGGGGTCTCGTTTAAACGTGGAACTTTTCTACACTCAACATTCAAAAATGCCAGCAGTTTCCAGCAGTCTCGTGTGGTAAACGTTTTGAAATGTAAATGGTGAAGGTTGGTCAGAGAGATTCCGGCTCCCTTAGAAAATTAGACGGGCGGAAAATGTCAGAAAATAAACTGTTGCAGTATGGGGCGCAAAATGATGTCACAAACCGGAAAGCCACAACTCAAACAGCTAAAACTGAAGATGATCACCAAACAGAAACAATCTCTTCAAATTTGTAGCTAGCAGGATTTTTGTCTTTTTTATCTGCTGTTAGCAGCAAAGGTTTTCAATTACACTTTACTCCCTTTTAAATCCACAATACAATTAATTTTGTTATATATTCAACAAATTCCTAATAATACATCACCCACATTATAAAACTTCACTGAAAGTGAATCTCCAGATGGCTGAATATACACTGAAGTGACATTAAATAGAACAAACATTTTAAAAATTACACTTTTTGTTTTTGTTTTAAATATGCAGATAACTGACATATTAAGATCTCTTTGGATCTATCCAAGAAAAAACAGCTTAACTTCAATCAACAAACCAATTTCACCAGGATCCTCTCTAAAGTGAGACAGAACACATCCTTTTGGTCATCTAATTACAAAAAAAAGCCATTTCTCTCTCTTCTGCTCTGTCTCTGTTTAGTCTCTCCTTTAGCCTGCTGCACCTTGATGGCTGAGTAAAGTTCTCCAGCACCAGAACCACCTAAGCTATAGCAAAAAAAAAAAAAAAGCCCCAAAAAACAAAAAACGAGAGGAACATGTTTGGCCCATGATCTGAGCTAAGAGAAAAGGTTGAGACTGCTGAGAGTAATCTTTAGAAGAGGACTTCAAAGCATAAAGTCCACACCACACTAGGTCAAATGACCTTTTGGGTGAAAGAAACAATCAGTCGATAAATGTACCCCTTACATGGCAATACACAACACAGTGTATCCTGCAAAAACAACAATTAAGAAAAGGTCCACTGCGCTTGTTTTTTTTCTTGCAAAAAATAAACTCGGTGAAATCGAAAGTTGGCTGTTGGAAACATACCTGCGTGCAAAGTCATTTCTAACTTTAAGTGAGAATAACCAGGTCAGACCAAACGCTGCAACCATGTAAACGTAGCTGTGCAAGCCACTTCCATTTATGGCTGTAGACTTGATCTGTCTGTCCTTTTTCTTTAAACTTGTGGACAGATATTTTGCCCAAGTGGCTAGTAAATGCCCTAAAAAGAAGATGGTACGTCCCCGCTACTGTTCTGCGTAGGCCTGAACCCCTCAGCCAAATTATCAACAAGATTGGTTATGAATACCGACTCAAAAATGGGGCCAACATCAGTCACCTTCTCTACATGGATGACATCAAGCTGTACGCCAAGAGTGAGCGAGACATCGACTCACTGATCCACACCACCAGGATCTACAGCACGGACATTGGGATGTCATTCGGACTAGAGAAATGTGGTCGGCTGGTCACTAAGAGGGGGAAGGTGATCCGAACAGAAGGAGTCTCACTCCCAGAAGGAACAATAGCAGACATAGAGGACAGTTAAAAGTACCTAGGTATACCACAAGCAAATGGCAACCTCGATGAGGCCACAAGGAAAGGAGCCACAGCTAAATACCTCCAACAAATAAGGCAAGTCCTGAGAAGCCAGCTCAATGGCAAGAACAAAATCCGTGTGATAAACAGATATGCCTTGCCAGTAATCAGATACCCTGCTGGAATAATTAGCTGGCCAAAGGAGGAAATAAAAGCCACAGATATTAAGACTAGAAAGCTACTAACCATGCATGGAGGGTTCCATCCCAAATCCAGCACCCTGAGACTGTACACGAGCCGCAAGGACGGAGGCAGAGGACTAGTGAGTGTGAGAACCACTGTCCAGGACGAAACAACTAAGATCCATAAATACATCAGGGACAAAGCCTCAACAGACAATGTGCTCAGTGAATGTCTCAGACAACAGGGAACGGAGGTTGAGGTGCCAGAGATACCATCATGGGAGGACAAACCCCTACATGGGATGTACCACCAGCAAATAACCCAAGTGGCTGATATCAGTAAATCCTACCAATGGCTGGAAAAAGCTGGACTCAAGGACAGCACAGAGGCCCTCATCCTGGCCGCCCAGGAACAGGCCCTAAACACCAGAGCAATAGAGGCCCAGATCTACCACACCAGACAGACCAAGGTGTAGGTTGTGCAAGGAGGCCCCTGAGACAGTCCAGCACATCACAGCAGGGTGCAAGATACTGGCAGGGAAAGCGTACATGGAGCGATAACCAAGTGGCAGGCATAGTGTACAGAAACATCTGTGCAGAATATGGACTGGAAACCCGAGATCAAAGTGGGAAACACCCCCAAATGTGGTGGAGAACACCAGAGCTAAGATCCTGTGGGACTTCCAGATCCAGACAGACAAAATGGTAATGGCGAACAACCAGACATTGTCGTAGTGGATAAACATCAGAGGAAAGCGTTGTGGTAGATGTAGCAATACCAAGTGATTGCAACATCAGGAAAAAGGAGCACGAGAAACTAGAGAAATACCAGGGCCTCAAGGAAGAACTGGAGAGGGCCTGGAAGGTGAAGACCACAGTGGTGCCTGTGGTCATCGGGGCCCTCGGGGCAGTAACCCCCAAACTGGAGCAGTGGCTACAACAGATCCCAGGAACAACATCAGACATCTCAGTCCAGAAATGTGCAGTCCTTGGCACAGCCAAGATACTGCAGGACCCTCAAGCTCCCAGGCCTCTGGTAGAGGACCCGAGCTCAGAGGATAAGAACCACCCACGGTGAGTGAGAAGGGGAATTTTATATATATATATATCCGTCATTTTGACCGACAGTCATGTACTATTTTTACTTGTCAAAATATAATCACATTAACATTTTTATGTGGTTCAGTTAATATTCACCTAGTTGGACCATGAATCCAGATCCCATCACACATAAAGCAGATAAATGCACCTAAATTTTTCTCCAGAATGACACAAACCACTGACTGTGGTCCCAATAACTTAGAATACATTAAATGAAACAACTCCACTTAAATTACAAGCACTTCACCTGCTGCGGCCTGAACGTACAACCTCAAAAATTCCTCTGGGTCACATCTATAGGGAAATCTGCACTGGTTCATCAGTCAGTTGGATCCGTCAGATCCAAACCGGTCAATTGAATTCTGCGAGCTTTTTGCCCTGTGCAGGCCGGGCCTGCGGTTTTACGAGGATTTTATCTTTTCTTTTTTTTTAATTATTTGCATGTTTTCGTTTCCCAAAATGGACAGATGTTACGTTTGCCACACTTTTCCTGAGCGCTGCTCTCCTTCAGAGCACAGGAGGCTCACATCTTCTGATCCATTTGTTGAATTGTATTAACACAATATTTAAAACTCTAGTTTTCTCTGGTCTGTAATGGAGATTTGAATTAAACACACCATTTCTACCAAAGGTTTGGAGTGCTCTTCTGAACCAAACGTTCCATAACTCTTCAACACACTGTCAGCTCTCGGTCAGAAAGATGCATTTAGCTCAATGACCATAAAATGATATTGAGAAAGTATTTTTTATTAATTGATTTTAGTTGTCTCTGCGATTGACTTTTTGCGTAAAATCTATAATTCACACCTGTCAAGGGTGTGAACTATAATGTGTCAAATGGCCAACGGTCTTCAAATTTTTCTGTCGTTTAAAACAGTAACAGGTCAAATACGGGAAATATTCCGTTAACGCAACTTCTGAGATGTATATATGTACATACACACATTTTGCATTTAATATGAAAACCCCATCCTTGTCTGTAAATCTGTTCAACTCAGAACTCCTCAAGTAGCATTTTAGCTTCACTTGGTTCAAGTTTTGTAAAAAACTAAACTATTAAACACTTTTTGCTAGCATGCCAGCAATCTACTAATCCCGTCAGCAGATGACATCTATCTGCCTGGTAGACAGACTGTACAGTATTTTCCAGCTGCAAAAGCATCCTTTGCTACAAATTATCAACTGCACACTGAAGGAATGATGTTCCTGCTTTTCAGGTAATAAAATATGTTCTTGTGCAAATAAGTAATTAATTGAATTATTCTCTTATTTTCATCTTAACTGTATTTCTAAATCAAAGATTAATATCAAATGAAAAATTTGCAGAAGGTGCCAATTTTGGCATCTGATTAATCGTCACAGTAAATGATAAAATATGTTTGTAAAAATAATCAGTAACAGCCCCAGTTTCTTATAAAAAGATAACCTCTACTTCCTGTGTATATAAATAGTCTGTTTTCTGTGTTAGGAACTATCCAATATGATCACAACATTTTAAAGATTCAATAAAAGAAGCATTTTGGAAATGTTACCATCTAAAGAACTGCAAGAAAATTTCAAGATGGCTAAAGTCAATGTTGGGATGGCAACTCTCAAACTTGCCATAAGTTCCCACATCTATCATCTTGCGTTGGACGTTTAATAACAGATTTTGGATGTTTGAAAAGTTACCAAACCTGTTCAGGGGAGTACTTTTCCACAACAGGTCAAGAAAATCTGTTAAGTGTACTTAGGATAACCTCACATCAGCTTACTGCTGCTAAGCAAACATGGCCCAAATAGTGTTGACATTGCTTCAGCGCCACCCCCAAGCATGAGTTTAGTGATTTAGCCATCAAATCTGAACAACATGATCCATGAAGAGGGCAAGGGATAGTAACAGTGAAAAGAAAAGAATGTGCAACTTTTGCTATGCTGAGTAGAAATGAGTTGCACAAACAACTACAGAGACATACTGGTCAGATTTCTGCCTGGCCAATATCAATTTCTGATTTTCTGTGAGAATGTTCTGCAGATTCTTTGACAGTGGCAGATTTAAATTACATAAAAAATGAAGAAATTACAGAATTATACCAAGATACGCTTCAAAGCTAATGTCTTTAAATATTTTTCATTAAACTTTCTGGTTGACAGGAGGATATGTCGAGTTTATATCAAGTAGGATAATAGACTACACTTTTTTGGTTAGCATATGACTCTCCATTAACCAATCAGAACTGATCTGTAGCCAATTGATTGATCAATTTTGCTTCCTTTAATCACCAAAGGTCAAAAACAAAATAGTATGGGCGGATCAGTAGGTGTGTAAGGATAAAATGTTTTTTTGTTTGTTTTTTGGGCCAAAGATACTGAATGGCGCCTTATGAAAAGTTAAATAATCCAGCAGTGACAAGATTTGCAGGCACTTATATCTCATAATATGTAGAGAAAACCACTTAGACTTCAGGCCATAAGTCAAATATAGCTTTTCAAAGAAAAAAAAGGCTAATATGGGTCCATCAACACTACCGCAGAACCACCATAAAGGCCTACTTTGACTTCCCCACACACACTAATGAAGTTTCCATTAAGAATTTCTTGGGCCCATCAGCTAATTGTCTCTAAATGCCTGCATTTAGAGGCAATTCCAACTCTGCTGGTATCCGTTTTACTGTCTTTGTGATCAGACGAGATGCGCACCAAAACAATATAAAAAATGAAACGACGTAAACCTGGGTTTACATTAAGCATGCCATGCAGACAGACTTGAGTGCGGCTATCTAGAGGTACAAAACTCCGAAATCCAACAGCACCCGCTGTTCGCGAGTGTCACAATCATACCAGAAATAATCAGGCCTCAGGAGAAAATAAGGAAAACAGAGGTGATGTGGCAGCTGTTTCTATGAGCAATTCTTGGAACAAGATTACCGACAAATCGGTAGCTACCAGGTCGAGAAGTCAAGTCGCCTTTAGAGATTAAATCATTTACCCAACAAGACAGCGAGGTAAAGACACTAGAGTTGGCTGTGGGCTCACGGAAACGAGAGTAAAAGCTCACTAAAAGCTATAATAATGCTACACGTTCCGCTGTAATTCACCACACTCATTTAGCTGTGTTGTTAAACATACCGTCTCGTGAACAGACACGGGGGATAAACCATGACGCATAGAAAACGACGAAAAAGAAAATAAATAAACGAGGAAAAACTGCTATTACCAAAACCACTGACAACACGGCAGGAAATAACAACTGAGCTGAACGTCAACAGCAAAGCAAACGTCAGTTCTGCCAGACCGCTAACGGTTAGCTGGCGCTAGCTCGCGAGCCATTTAGCCCAACCCGCTAGCTGGATTTCAACGACAACCTTCCTACACAGACGAACAGTACAATCACACTCGGTGACAATATGACCCCACAAATGCACATATATTCCAGTTACGACGAGTCTGAAACGCTAACCCTACACACCAAGTGGTTAGCCTGCTCTCGAGCCAAGCGGTTGTTTAGCGTAGGCCCGAGCGGAGCGGCTGTCGGGCGCAGAGCGAGTTCGCCCGAGACGGGAAATCTCTGCTACCGCCAGCTGTGAGCGCAGACAGCGGACACCCAAGCCGTAGAGCATCCGGTGGTGGTGGCAGAGACACCGAATCCTGGCCCTCACCTATATGGCTATCTGCAAACTAGCGTCAACACTGTATTCGAGCACCGATTCCTTAAAGAAAAATAAGTAGGAAGAAAAGAAAAAAATAAAACGAAAACACTCTGAAAAAACAGCGGCCATTCCGAAGCTGAACAAAAGAGTGCGCTCGCATTCGCCACCAAAAAAAAGACACATTAGCGCTAAACAGAGTTTCAGAAAAGGAAGGCGAGATTAGCGCCCAACGAGTGAGTCCAAACTGAGCTGGAGGGATGGAAACGTTTATTGTTATTGTGGTAAAATAAGTAGTTTACCTTCAGAGGTGTGACTCCGCCATCCTAGCTGCTTCCTCCTCTTTTCCTACACCGCTGCTCAGCCCCCCTCCCTCCTCCCCCGATCACAGAACTGCGTCATCCTTACGCCGAACCAATGTTATCACGAGACCTTCAAATGCACCCAAATATTCAGCCTTTTAAAATAAAATAATAAAAGTGACATAACATTTGTCAACATGGTTGCAAGAATGATGAGACTAAAAAGACTTGTGAGAAATCATGGATTGCTGAACACACTGTTTACTTAATGCATATTGTAACAATAAGTAAAAGTTGCATTATCTGTTTGTAGCACCTGAAATACTTACCACGCACAGGGATTTTTCCCAGAAAATTTGCTAAGCCCGATGCTCGGCGTGCGAGGGCTGTCATCCAGCCGCCAGGCGAGAAATATTTAAACTTGGCAGGAATTTTGAAAATATAGTTATGCATTATTGGAAGACTGGAAGATTAATGCTTAAACACCAAACATAAAGTGTTAATAAAAAATATATAAATTAAAAAAACCGAGATAAATGAACAATGCCAAGCCTGGTGGCCCGCCAGGCTTAGAATACACTGAGGGAAACCCTGATGCAATATCTAAGAAATTTGAATCACTGTATCCAAAAGAACATGTTTTTAAGATCATGAGCGAAGTTGTACTTTATAAGATGTAATTTATTATTGAAAAACCCAGTGCTCTTGGTGAAATTAAAATATTAGTGAATATTTACAAAAACAAGAGTGAGGGTGTTTTTTTTTCTTCAGGAAAATATATTTATGCGCATAATTTTTGGTGAACTATAAATTATAGCACACCTAAATTGTACCGTCTCTCAGAGGGAGAATAACAAATAAACGGCATAAAATTGGTGCATACACATTTCTGACAAAGAAAGTGACATATGTAGGCACCCTTTTTTTCGATAAGCGTCCTTAAGCCTTCCAGACAGCGTCTAAGGAGCTTTCTTTCTTAAATCTGTTTAAGAAGGAACCAAAAGTCCTTTTACGGGGATAGGCCATTGTTTCCTTTTTCACACCACTAGCTAGCCATGCATTGCAATACTTCATATATGCAGTGGAGTATTGCCTTATTGATTAAAAGATACAGACATCATATTTTTATCAACAAACATGTCTGATCCACAGGACAATTGTTTCCTGGAAGCCTTATGTTGGACTTCTCCAAGTTAATTTGGATCTCTCAACACATTTCCTGCAATTCTGTTAACTTTTTTTTTTTTTTTTGCAGCAAAGCATTTGCTACTTCTGTGACATTTGCCATTCCTCTTAAAGATTTTGTTTTACAACTTTTTACTTTTCAGGCATTCAAATTTATTTACTTTTGCTATCACACTTTGTAAACTTACCAGGTTAAAAAAAAAAAAGTTACAACAATTGAGACCAAAGTCTCTTTTACAATGATAGAAATAGAGCAGATGCTCCTACACATTGAAAAAATCAAAAATTTGTTGTGGTTCCAAGATCAGTCAAAATCCCTCCTGGGTGCTTCCCCAGGGTGATTTCTCCAGGCGTCTTCCACTGGGAGCAGATCCTGGAACAAACCGAAACAGACCCGGAAACAGTTCAGAACCCCTCAAAACGAAACAGAGGCCATCACAGTGGGAAGGGATGTCTGAGTTTCCATCCTATTCCAGCTACCTGCAAATTCTGATCATGCACAAACCAACAACAATGACATACTTTTGGAAATAAATAAATAGGAAATTAATTAATTAATAGAATAATTCTCTATTTAATCAATTCAAGATAAGATTAATGTAAAGAGAGAAAGATTAATATTTGATCAGCAGATCATCTGATGTAGGCCAGTGGTAGAATCAACAGGCTTGTTCTATGTTTGAGTGGATTTATGACACATTACCTCAGTCTATGTTATTGGCTATTTCAGTGCACATGCTAAAAGACAAAACCGACAAGATATAAAATGTTGGCGATAATAGGCCAGCTGTCATTCTCTAAGGTTGAACAGATTATTCTGTACAAGATTTCAAGAGAACTTAACAACAGCAACAACAACAACCTTTCAGGCTACGTTTTGGAACTACGTGCAGGACTAACCTATAAATGTGTGCATCAAGGAAAATTCTTTGAATTAAAAGAAAAAAAAATTGATCATTGGAACTTTTAAGTAGACTTCCAATGCCATTTCTGCTCTTACTCATTCCTTTTTTTTTTTTTTTGGTTGATCTTTTTTTTGGCTTGTCGCAGAGTAATGACGTGGCGATCCTCTCCTAATCCTAATTAAGCTGCCCAGTACAGCACTCTGTTTAAACCTAAAAGCAGGGCTGTTATGATTTCCATAACTTTAGGGAGATCAAATGATAAACTTTACTATCTCTTCACATAGCACATCAAGCATTAGACCTTTTTAAAACAGTGAAACACATGAGCCATGTCATAACAAATGACTAATCCGATAATGACGGTGTTTGCAGTAGTAACAGCGTACCACGTTGGACATTGTAGTTTTATGAAATGTTTACCATTAATATTTTCGTAGTACTTTCGCCCTGTTTTTGTGTTTTAGATAAATGTGTGTCCAGTGAAAGAAAATGTAAATAATTTCACCAGCTGGTGGTGTCCGTCTTCAAATCTATATGTTGCTTTCACAAAGAATTATCAGCCGAGAAAGCGAGAAAAATCCAACTTTGACTCTTCACACGCAGATGGATGTTAATGCATCAGGATCAGCGTCTGCTGTAGGTTTCTGCAAACACAACTACTGAAGCAGTTGAAGAAGAGCCTTAGTGTTGGTGTTATGGACTGAATGCTTCTTGCAGAATCTCGCTCTTACAAACAGACATGCTAAGCATTGAGACTTATCAGGGAAAACCAGTTTCTGAGGGCTGTTGCAACATCGGCTTCAATGCTTTAAACCGAAGATAACACGCCCTTGCTCACCCTTGAACACTAAACATTGAGATTAAAAGCTTGCAGAGCAAGCAGGACAAAGGCGTGTTCTATAATTACTAGAAGCAGCAGCAGAAACATTATTGGCGTTAGTATTATTAGAGAATAAAATGCGAATCGGAGTATATTTATTAGCATTTTCTGGACCGTTTTTTCGTTAAATAATCCGTCTAACAAAGTACAACTGTGCGGTTTCAACCTTTCAGTTTAGCGTCAAATCTCCGAGCCGCCTCTAGGTGTCGCTAAAGCGCCGTGTCAATGTAGTCAACGCAGAAGAACGTCACGTGATTCTGCGGACGCGTTGGCCTGGCAACTGCAGCAGACCTTTATCTGGTGCTTAAAGGTAAGAATGAGAAAAAAAATTACAATAAATAACGCATTTAAACATGCGCTGATAACGTTATTTTTTAAAATAAGTTTGTTCAGACAGTCAGCTAAACCTCGCCAAGGAGCTTCTTTAAAGGGAAATGTCCCTGTACGTATCCAGGGCCAAGTCGCTAACATGCTACATGGGATTAGCGACGTGCTAATTCGCAATAATTCACGTCTGTGGTTAAACGTGATAGGTTGGAGAAATGTTCGAACTGCCCCCCCATCAAATGTCCCATTGAAATACTTATATGTACATAAAATGTTTAAGATGTTTAAATCAACATGGAAGTGTTTTGAGTCCGCTAGATGACAACAGACATGTTTAAAAGTAAAGAGAAAAATACCTGTATGTTTTCTTACCTTGCAGCACGCGCCCACAAGACACAGCGATGCCCGAGGTCAAGTCAGTACTGAGAGAAGTTCTGCCGAAGCAAGGTTTGCACCGCAGCCGCTTGCTGTCTGGACAGCACTAGTCACGAAAGCTTGTTTTGTGGACGCTCCGTATGACTTGTGGGCTGTTGACAAATCAGCAAACCCTCGCATAACTGGTGAAAAGATTCCTCTGTGCTCCCTTCTTGTGATCAGTATCTGTATGTTTGACCAGTCAAGATGTTTGAACTGGGAATAGAAATCCTCGCTAAGCGACTCGTGCCCTCTGGGCCTCCTCATCATTTGCCAAGTTATGAAGAACCTCGTTGGATTTTATTGGGATTTTCCATGATCCAGCAAGACATAACTGTGTAGCGCTGAGGTTATAGGAAAACCATACAAGATTTTCTAAATGGTTTACAAATAAGAATCTGAAATATATATATAATTTTAAACCAAAACTCATTTTTGCTATAATAAAAATGCTAAAAATTGGTTTCTGTTTGTTCTCAGACTATTCAAGTGTGTAGAGCATGTATAAGAGAGACAATTCATAACATAGATTTTGGTATATTTTACTTTACATTTTCCCTGCTGTAGAATCTTGATACCGTCAAATCAATAACAGTAATAAATGACATGCAATAGTGAATTGAAAGAGTCATTTTTAGTTCACTTGTCTTGTTTTTTATCTCCAAAGTGATTCTGGGAAAGCACATTGGAAATGCTGATTGTGGGAAAAGTGTGCAAACCCTGATTTTTGTCTCATCTGATCGTTTTCATCTTTCACAAGTCATCAGTCTTTCCTTGGTCCTCTCGGCTCCTCTGAATAATTATAGCATCCCACTTTAAGTAGACATCAAGACTAAGAGTATGTGAACAGATGTGCATGAAACTTTACCACCCCTCCCCACTCCAAAGTATTTTTTTGCATTGATTGATTACATAAAAAAAATAGCATAAAAATGTGTATAATGAACATAATCTGTGAGGAACTTCTCTGACTTTTCAGAATAAAGCATAGCACAAACCGGCGAAATGAATGTTTAGCAATTAAGTAAACCCAGGTTATTTTTCGAAAAATAACTTCCTTTTTTTTGCTGCATTTACAGGGCAGCTCTACATGG